TCATTGTGTCCCAGATTTATTTCCCCCAAAGCACTTCCAAAGTGATTTTCCTGGCCCTTGATTCATTTCATCTTCCCATGTCAGACATGAGAGCGGTGCGGGGTGTGGCTCGTGTCTATACCACCCGGGCCCCTTCATCCCACTAGCTGCAGCTCTGTGTAGCGCACCAGGCTGAGTCCTTTGCTTTCACTCGAACCACATAAGCATCCTTTTCATCTTCTCTTTGATGAAGAGGGGAAAATGTGCTTCCAGAGAGCTTCAAGGGGCGCTGGGGAAGCCCCCCGGTGGATGATCTAGAGAGGATGAAGGCAGGCCTTAAACTGATCTTGTTTTTCCAGCTGGTGCGTGATTATTACCCAGGAGCTGGTGCAGCTGCCCAGAAGGCCCAGACAAGCCCCCACGCCAGCCGATGACCCGGACGGGGCTTGCCAGTGACGCTGGCTAATGCCGCCCCAGGCCGGGTGTGTGGGTTACATCAAAGTGGCAGACAGAGAAACTAACACTGACCTAACCTTGCGGTGTTGCAACAAAAGCACCTGCTCCCCACTGTCTTGCCCTCTTTAAAAATGAACTTGTTTTGGCAGAGTGCCAAGCTGCACTTCTGCGGCCCACAGGATTCGGAAGCTTGGCAGGTCATTCCGGCACTTAGCTCATCGGATGGCCTGAGTGTGAGCGAAGACCAGGCATTTCCACAACACAGCCGGCGATATGCATGAGGGCTTAAAATACAGCTCTGGAGATATTCACACTTGTGTAGCACTTGTGGGATTCTGTAGCTGCAAACGTAACATAAGGGAGACCCACTGAATCCTGGCTTCCATCCCGCTGTCTTCCATGTGTGGACTGTCATTGTGTTGACTCATTTACATGCTCTTTCTACAACATTTACTGAGCACCTACTATGTGTGAGCATGAGACTTGATCCTGATACACTCTGCTGAATAGATGATCCACTTCCCCCATTTCATGGAGACAGAAATCAAGACTGTCTGGGAGAAGTCACATGCCAGGGCCACAGCTTGAAGTTGTGGAGCTGGCATATGGGGGTTGTATCTGACTCCGGGCTGGCACACGCAACTGCCACTCTTTGCTTCCCCAACAATTGCACACAACTCAGCCCATCCAGCAGTTACCCGCACTGAGAGGCATGGGTTACACGGGCTGCCCAGAGGTTGTACAGTCACAGCGGTGATGCGCCTTGGTTGTTTCCTGCCTCCTTCCTTTCTTCCATTCACCCACCCGACTATTCCTCCATCCACCCACACCCCCGCCCACTCGCCAGGAGAATGATGCCAGGCAAGAAGCAGCTGAGTCATAACTTAGAACTCCTTGGTCTATTGGATTTAAATATGTCTTCCTTAGTTCCTTCATCTGTGAAACAGGGATTATCACAGCAATAATGATAACTGGCATTTTAAGTTCGTTGGGAGGATTAAATGAAGAGATGCATTTAAAGCTCTTTGAACTTGTTAAGTTCTGACATTCTGTACTTGTTATCACAACATTACTACTATGTTCTTTCAGCTCTAGGATGCTTATTTTTACGTGGTTGACTGACACGTATTACGAGATGCTGTCAGGCTGGCTCGTTGGTACACGAAAGACCCCAGTGACCTTGGACTTCAGTGACCTTGAAGCCTGTGTTGCTTGGGCAGATGGGTGCCCCATTAAGTCAACATCTGCCTGTCCATTGTCAAGTGTTTTGCCGCGTAAACACTCAGACCTAACACAACTGCTTGGGGACACATTTCGCTTCTGAAGTGCTTCAGAAGGACCCATGTACTCACAACACTACTCATCCGATGCAAAGCCATCTTCTTCATTCAGCTAGATCCCCCAAGGACTTCTTCCTTCTGCAGGTCATACAGCAACTCCCAGCTCCCATTCACACCCTGAACGAATTGGGAAAATCAAGCAATGAAGCTGAGGCTCTGTTCTTCAGTGATAGCTCAGTGCTCATCTACTTCCTAAAACAAGTGAGATCTTTCATTTACTCAGCACTGAGCGGATGCCTGCCCCGTGCCGGGCTGGGAGCTGAGGGCTGCAGGTGAGGGACAGCGGGCAGAGTTCTCGTCCCCATGGGATCTGCAGTCTTGTGGGTGACATGGGTGACATATGCACAGCGGCAGGCCTGGCACCTGTGCTCGCCCCGACTCAACCTGGCTCAGGGTGCTGTCACGGAGGCACAGTCATATCCACGTGAACTCCTCCAGCAAACTGAAGCTGCTGCTGCATCTGCAAGGCTCCCAATATTGATTGTTGTGATGTCGAATGTCGAGAGACAGAGGGAGAAAGTAGAGGCAGAGCCTGGACCGTGCTGTGTTTCTGCAGGGTGAGCTTGGGCCTGTCCAGACAACCTTCCGTGCTTGACCTCAGCGTCTTCCTCTGTTGAGTGAGCTGGTTCAGGTAGATAAACCCCCTGGTCCCTTCCAGGGGCAGATGTGACTTTGATGACCATTTTGTAACTCTTGTCTAAAGTGCTGAGACTATAAATTTCAAGTCATCATTTGGGGGGGCCCTGAGGGCAGCTATTTTCCACGTGGGAGAAGGAGGGATGGGCCGTGGCTGAGTCCCAGTGATCCACGCACTTCAGCCGAGCCCACTTCTCTGCCTGGAAAACTGGCCTGTAGAGAGAACGCTGGCCAACTCCATGGCTTGCACGCTTAGGCTGCTTGTCGCATAGGCCTCCTCATAATTCTTTTCCGCTTTAAAAGCAGTGGAATCAGGCAATTGCTTTGTCTTTCTCCAGCTCGCTGAGCACCCACTCCGGCCCCCAGTAGGAGGTGACAGAAATGATAAAGCTCAGTGAAGGGCAGGCCATGGATTCACACGGGGATCTGCAGATCTTGTGGGTGACACGGGTGACGTATGCACAGCGGCAGGCCTGGCACCTGTGCTCACCCCGACTCATCCTGGCTCAGGGTGCTGTCCCGGAGATCCCTCATTTCCTGCCATCATTTGCTCTGGGCAACACTGGTCCCCACGCCTGTGGATGCTTCCGTACTCCTGTAGAGGCATGGAGGGAAACTGAGGCCCGACCAACACCCATGCTCACTCGCAGGCTTCTGAGCCATCTGGGACATGGACTCTCCAGCCCTAGTTGAGCACAGCGTGACCGTGACCCGAACTGACATTTGACTGCAAACTTAGGAGCTAACTGGAACATTCTACCTAAGCTTTTCCAAAATTCCAGCCTGTGAGGTAATAATTGTAGTGCTTAAGATGCTCACTCTTGCGGTGATCCCTTACCCTGTGTAGACAGCGAGTGCAGTTGTCTTCACTATAGTGATGTGGAGGACTGAGGAGTTTCTAGTTATTAATAAAAGACGGGGGCTGGTGCTCTCCCTCAGCCTTTTGTCTGGGCTCCCATGAACTTCCTGGACCTGTCTGTGTTCTCTTTAATCTGTAAACCGCGATCATCTCTGCTTTGAAACAGAGGTTGGGTAGAGGAAAAAAGAAATTGTGAATTACATTATGGTGGAATTCATCATGCTCTTGTGAGTTTTATGCCAACAAGGCAATCATTCTTTTTAAAAATAGCATTGTTTTCTGTTTAAATGCAATTTATGTTAATGATAAAAATTGTGAACAATGCAAAAAAGGAAGGAAGGAGCAAGTGAAGGGCTCTGTCATAATTTCCCTGATGTCTATGTCTCAGAGACTCTACCAGCGTGTGCTGACGTAACTCGCTCCTGTGTTTATCCGTTGGTTCCCCACACACGCATTTGTCCTTTCTCGCACCAAATATTACTTTGGTGCCACTTTTAAGGATGTTGGGAGACGCAGTGACGAATAGCACAGGTCTCTGCCCCTGGAGGAGCAGTGTCCGGTCGTGCAAGTTGAGAGGGAGTCTTTAGAAATTAGATAGGGCCATTAATAGCCAGTGAGCTACTCTAGTTGATGAAGAAGTTAATTGTCCTTGTGCTAAGCGCCCAAACCTCTGTGTTTATCTGGTTTTCTTCGAGTCTCACCGTTCAAGATTGCTCTTGGGAAATTCCGCTGCATCTGAGGCTGTTGGGCCCTTCTGCTCAATGTCCTGGATGACTCAGCATTCACAGCCTCCGTTGCTTCCTTTTCATCTTTCAATTTCTTCTGCATTTTCAGGTTTCTTCAGCAGACATGCTTCTTGTTGTCATTGTAATCACTCTTTAGTGTATGAGGTTCTAAGAACCACTCTTCGTAATAACACGAGTGTAGAAGATCACAATTATCAATCAAATCTTGAAGTATTTGAACCTTCTTCTATAAACAATAGAAATTCACTGGAAACACAATCAGAGTGAGAAGAGTTTTTCGTTTTAGAAATATCAACTTGAGGCCATCCCTGGTGGCCTAGGGGTAAAGTCTCAGCGCTGTCACTGCTACGGCCTGAGTTCGTTTTCCAGCTGGCCCGGGAGCTGACCCACATGGCGCAGCAGACCTCTCCTGTCTCCCCGCTGCTCCCCTCAGCAGTGCATTTCAGTGGATCCACCTGTTTTACTCCCCACTTTGTCTCTGGTGAATCCTCTCAGCCCCCACACTTCTAGCCACACCCCAGTTCCTGTATGCATAAATACATAACGTCAAATCTTTAAAAAATCCTTGCTGAATGAATTAATTTAGCAAATGGCAATTTTGAAAATAAAAGAGTCTTGGATTGACTGATTAGCAGTCTTATTTGTGTGCATTCTGCTTCGGGATTGATGTAAGATTTTAGATCACACAGGCCTCCTTTGGTTTGACTTTCCTCCTGTTTTTGTTCCTTGTAGCAAATGGCCCGGTCACTTCTGCATGCCCCGTGTTGTCCCGCCCTAGTGAGTTGAGTTCATTTTTACTGGCTCCGTTTTGAGGAACTTCTCTGGATCCAGCGTGACCCAGCACACAATAAAAAGGTCATTTGAGTCGGAGACACTGGATTTCAAATTCTGCCTCAGTCACTTACTTGTTCCGGAACGTTCATTTACTGGCCTATTCTTTGGGATGGCGAAGTCTGCTTGACCCAGATGTGATGTGAAACGAGGTTTTTCCTGCCTGGCGTCAGCTCGCAGACTCGATTTTCCCTTCTCATGCCACTCCACACGCGCCGTGTGGTCTGGACCTGGGACCGGGGGAGGCTGGCCTGGTCCATCTGCAGCAAGTCTTCGGAAAGTCCTGAGTTGTCATCACAGGTCACGTTGCCATCAGCTGTAATCCATTTACTTAATTAAAGGTAAACCATCCCCCAGGTAAACTAGGAGGGGAGCAGACGTGGTCTCATCAGAACCACTGTCTAGTCCTTTCTGATCTCTCAGTGGCATTGCATTAAAATCGATCCATTTCCCAAAGGCCACTTTGCCGGTTCCTTATCGAATTACAGACCGGCCACAGCCTCTGCCCTTCCCCCTGGCAGTGGGGACTCCCTGCACAGCTTGGCTCCAGTGTGGTTTGCTTGGAATTCATCCCTCGGGGACTTGGTGAATTGAAGATCTATTACTTCTTATATTCTGCTCTCTGAGGAGGGCCTGGCGTCATGCGCTGGCTCCGCTCCAGAATGGTTTGACTGTTTCGTGCCCCTCTTTTTCTGTCATCTTATTTTCTAAAGCTTAGTTTTATTTTGCTTTATGTTTGATGGTGGAGATAATATAGTGGGGACATATATCAATTCCAGGTCTGAAAGGTAGAAATTAAGCTCCAATTACATGTATTCAGTGGTATTTTAAAACCTGTTGAAAGGGGAAGATACAGCATAAATATGAAGAAAGTCATGTGTGCCTGGCACACAGTAGGTCCTCAGGAAGTATGTTTTAAGCAAATTAAATATTGAACACAGAAGCGACACACACACACACACTATGACCTATAAAGAAATGTTCAACTATCAAGAATTCTCATAATTCCCACCTCCTTCACATTACATTTAATTATGTTTAATCTGAAGGCACCTAAGATAAGAAAAACTGGATCTGACTTGCGTCTGTAGCACACCTGGACAGGTCATGTCCCATTGAGACCTTGCTCATCTGTCAGGTGGGAGGGAATGGCTAAATGACCTTTGACATCTTTGCCCAAGTTTAAAGGTTTATTTATCCAACCTGGTGTGTAAGATACCCAACCACCTCCAATACGCCTCCCTGACTCTATCTTTCTGTCTGTCTGCCTAGTCTCTTTCTACACACACTCACTCACACAAACACACACACACACACACACATTTTCAGAACTCTTTTTTTCCCCCTTTTCTCTCTTCTCCATCCAAACCACTTCTCTCTTCCTCTCTTGCACAATCATTGTACAGTTTTTACTACACAAAGGCATTGTTTTAGGTAGTGAATAAAGCAGCAAATGAAAAAGTCCTTGATCTCATCTGGAATGTTTGCTAGTGGGGACAAAGAATAAAAAAGCAGTATAAGTAAATAATGTGTCGGAAGGCATTCTGTTCAATGTGTTAAGCTGTTTGCCTAATAATGACAGTGATGATGGATGGTCATAATGATGAGTGATGACTGAAGCTTCTCGCTTTGGCCTGAATCCCACCAAGTGCCCCCATTCAAAGTGACAATGTCCCCTCCCTTCCCAGTGCCTGCTCTGAAGCTCACATGAGACACCTGGTGAGTGTGAGACTTCGATTTTCCTTCTATTCTGCGATTTATATAAATAAGAATTGGCTCTGATTTTTGACCTCATCTTATACCTATGGTTATAAGAAATAAGAACTCCTTTCAAAGCTACTCAGGAGCAGTCCTGCTCTCTGATCAGAGCTGAGTTGATAAGGCAGTTTGAAGCAAGGAGGTTGTTTTCTTCTTGTCTCTCCAGGGAAGTAAGACATACTCACCTACTAAGTGTCCTTGTGCCATCATTCACAGTGAACCCAAGGTCAGCACCGCCGGGTCCACAAAGTGCTTGCTGGGATAGTGTTTTCTTCCCAAGAATGCACAGGCAACAAATGGGTTGATTCTTGTGCCACTGCTGGCTGCGGGCTCTCAACATGCTGTGTTACATTACAGGGAGCTCAGCTTGGGGTTCAGCTTCAAAAACAGAAGCAGCTCAGCCTTGAATCCTGTCTTTGAGAGTGTTTCCTTAGACTTCTTCTGGCACCAAGCCTTGCCAGAAAACTTGAATTGATAGCAGTTATTTAAAACAGAGAGTATTTAATATAGGGAATTGATTACGTAAGTGTTGCAAAGTTGACACAGAAAGAAGGAGTCTCAGGAATGATTCAATGAATAATAATGACTAGTTGTTAATGATTCAGGGTTGAACAATAATGCAAGAAGAGACAGTGATTGCTAGGACTGGGGAAGCTGAAAGAGCAATTGTAGTCACCAGATCTTAAGAACTAAGAACTTGAAAGGAGAATTTCTCCTCTCTGAAAAGAGACCTGCAAACTAGCAAAAATGGTGTTAGTTTGACTCACAGAGAAACACAGTCCATGTTTGTCGGTGGTAGCTTTGAAGGGAGAGGAAGCTGAAGTCTGGAGTGGAGCTACGCTCTGCTGCTACAATGGCCCAGATGGGAACAGAAAAGATGGAAGAGGCCCATGTCTTGCTTCCCCTTGTCCCTCCTGTACCTCCCCTCAGAGCACTGGGCAGGTGGGTGGCCTGCCAGTGAGTTGGGGAAATGGGTCCTGCAGGATTCTGGTCTCAACTCAGCACAAAGAGGTGGACCTGGCATGGTAAGAAAAAAAGGTAAATCACCCCAATAGAGCCATGGAAAGGCACAGCTCAGACCTGGCACCCGGGGTCCCTACTGCGGACTGGGATCCAGGTGGGTCCGCACTGATGGTCATGATGGGAGTTAATCCTCATCATTTCTGTTGGTTGAAGGTGTCTGCGAGCTTGCGCTGACCCACTCTCATCTCTATAGTACTGTGCTTTGGAGTTCATGTCTTCCTTTTCCACCACGATTAGTCTTCTCAAGTCTTGCTTGTCTTTACTTCCTGATTGTTTGAAAGCCCATGTCACGCTTGTCCCTCGAGCACGGCTGTCTCAGGCTTCTCCCGTTACTGTGGGATCGCACAACCTTCCTTTCTTGCACTTTCCTCTGATCCTTCCTTTTTATGGCTGCCAGATAATCTTTCTTCTATAAAAAAGTCGCATCCTCCCTCCAGCTAAACCCTTCAGTGGCTCACCATGGCCCAACCCAAGCCTCCTACACGCTGGCTTCTGGGGCGATTGATCTGGCCTGAGGTGTACGTGACACGTGCCTTCGAGCCTTCTTGCTGCTCTTCATGCGTTTGCCTCTGCCCAAAATTATTCTTCCATTCCTTGTCCATCTGTACATCGTGCCCTTATGCATCAGGCTTCCATCAATTCTGCCTCCTCTTGGAAGCTCTTCTTTATCTCAGATGCACTCTTCAGGTCAATGTGTGTGTGTGTGTGTGCATGCACATACGTGCACATGCATGGAGGGTGTTGCACCAGAAAGCTATTTGTTTCTGGGTTATACCTATTTTGTGATGAGAGTTTGGGCATGGGGGGAGGGAACGGACGCAGAAGTTGACCCGCGGGTCTGACGCTTATCTGCTAGATGAGTTCGTCCAAGTGACTGAACTTTGAATCTCAACGCCTGCACGTGAAAAGGGTTGCTCTACTGCCTACCTCAGCACGTTGTTAGAGAAATTAATGAAATTGGGCCTCCCCGGTGGCACAGTGGTTGAGCGCTGGGTTGCGAAGCTGCCCACAGCCTCTGCAGTGCTGGTTCGATTCCCAGCTGCTGCCCGGCCACCGGCGGAGGGTCCCACATGGCGCGCAGACCTCTCCTGCCGCCCGCTGCTCCCCTCAGCAGTGTACCTCGGTCCTTCTGCCTGCTCTGCTCCCCGCTCTGGCTCTGGTGAATTCTCTCACCCTCCCGTGCTTCTGACTGTACCCAGTGCATGTATAAATAAATAAATAAATAAATAAATCTTTAGAGAAATTAATGAAATCACATCACTAATGGCCTGTGATGATGCTTGGCACATCCTGGGCTTTTCAACCACTGCCAGTTCTTTCTTGCCACCCGCCAGAGACTTCGAGCTTCCTGACGGCGAAAGCACGTTCATAGTCTTCGTTATATTTTCACCAGTCCTAGAACGATGTGGCATGGAGCAAATACAAACTGTTTGCTTAGTTTCAGAAGTGGTCCTGCCTGCAGGATCATTGATGTGCTCTGCTGCCCACGCCCATCCTCGGGAGGGCGTCCGCAGCACAGACCTGTGCAGGAGCTGGGATGGCGGGAGAGAGGAGTCGTGAAGCTCCCTTACTCTCCCATGCAGAGTCTAGAGCTGCTCCTGCTGACCTCAAAGGGGAGCCCTCACACTCCCCTGCCCCCTGCGTCCTCCCCTACTGTTGATGGGTTTGTGTGAAGCTCTTCCTGGAGGATTAAAAGTGAGACGGTGCTTGAGGTCCAGCGAGGACCACGGAGGCCACACAGTGCCGGGGGGTGGGCATGCAGTGGGACAGGGCAGGCCTGTGCTCACCCCTGAGGACTCTGCATTTGGTTCAAAGCTTCCCCTCAAAGCTCATTTATGGGCTGTAGATTCCCCTTCTACCCAGTGCCCAGGGCCACCGGGGAACGGCAGCTGACCCCTCGCACGAAGGTCCTATGTAACCTGGAAGGATCCATCTCTGTGCCGGCCCTGGACAGAGATTTCCGTGGATACACACACAGGAGCCTTTGCCTGGCAAAGCTCCTGTGGATAAATGCAGGCCTTCAAGTGGGCAGGAAATAATCTAATTTCCATGAAAGTTAATTGAGATCTGTGTTTTCTAGAGACTAATAGCCTGGTGAGTGATGTCCTGAGTCAAGCTGACGTGATGACCCCCTTGCGTTCTCAGGTACCAATTATCGAGCAGGAGGCACATCTGTCACCGGCGACCTGTTAGCACAGTGTCCTGCCCTGCATCACCCATAGTCTCCCTGGCAGTTATAGGGGAAGAACATCATCCCACTGAAAGACATAAAATGCCTGGGAGCAAAATGCAGCCTCTCGGAAGCTTGGTCGCATCATTGCTGCACTAGGGAGCCATGTAGGTATTGGCTCAGGAGCACCCTGTGCCAGGCGGCAGAGTAGGCGCGGCTCAAGGACAAAAAGCCACGTCCTCAGGAGGCTTGCTGTCCTTTTATTGGGGGTGGGAAGATGGTTTGAAACCAGAATATCGATGTACAGGGTCAGCGCAGACCCGGTTCAACATCAAGTGTGCTTGGGGCGAGAAGGACCGGCCTTTAGGGCAGTTAATGCTGTGCTGGTGT